ATGGAAAGATATCCCTTGCTCCTGGGTAGAAAGGATCAACATAGTGAAAATGGCCATACTTCCAAAACTTCTATATAGATTCAATGCAATGCCAGTTGAAATCCCAGCAGCATACTTCACGGACCTTAAGCAAACAATCCAAAAATTCATTTGGAACAAGAAGAGACCCAGAATAGCAAAAGCAATTCTAGGCAACAGATACATGGTAGGGGCTATCACAACCCCCAACTTGAAACTATATTACAAAGGTACTGTGATAAAACAGCATGGTCCTGGCAAAGAAACAGACCTGAGGGCCAGTGGAACAGATTAGAAGATGCAGAAACAACTCCAGACACACTCAGCCACCTCATCTTCAACAGAGGAGCCAAACACCCTCACTGGAGGAAAGACAGCGTCTTTAATAAATGGTACTGGAAAAACTGGGTTTCAGCTTGCCAAAGATAAAAACTAGAAGTATATCTCTCACCATGCACTCAACTAAAATCAAAATGGATTAAACATCTAAATATTAAAACAGAAATGCTGAACCGACTGGAACAGAGGTTAGGTAGCACTCTTGAAGACATTGGTGTAGGAAAAGATTGTATGAACAAAACTTCAGGTGCCTGTGAACTAGCACAAACAATCAACAAGTGGGATCTCTTCTTATTTAAAAGCTTCTGCACAGCAAGAGAAACCACCAGCAGTGTGAAGAGACAACCCACAACGTGGGAAAAAATGTTCACCTGCTGTTCCTCAGAAAAAGGTCTACTATATTGAATCTATAAAGAACTGAAAAAAATAAGACCTCCCAAATTTAAAGACCCCATCCAAAAATGGGCATCTGAAATGAACAGACATTTCTCAAAGAAGTAGACTTGGCAAATAAACATGAATAAATGTTCAACATCACTGGTCATTTGAGAGATGCAAATGAAAACAATGCTGAGATTCCACCTCGCTCCAGAAAGAATGACTGCTATCATGAAATGAACCAATAACAAACGCTGGTGGGGCTGTGGGAAAAGAGGAACCCTGCTCCACTCCTGGTGGGAGTGTAGACTGGTGCAAGCAGTGTGGAAATCAGTATGGCGATACCTCAAAGAACTAGGACTAGAGGTCCCATTTGACTCAGCTCTTCTCCTGCTGGGTATCTTCCCAAAAGAATTAAAAGAATCATACCATAGCGATATATGTGCACCCATGTTTATAGCGGCACAGTTTGTAACAGCTAAAGCTTGGAAACAGCCCAAGTGCCCATCAACTGAAAACTGGATAAAGATGTGGTTTTTTTTATGAAATGGAGTACTACTCAGCCATAAAGAATGAGAAACTAGAGACATTTATAGCTAAATGGATGCATACTGAGGCCATACTGATGTGAAATAAATAGGACACACGTGTAAATACCAAATAGTTTCTCTAGTGTGAGAAGCTGACAATAAGGATTAAAATGATTAAAATGAATAATTGATAATTTCAAATAGGAAGAAAAGGTCCAAAGCGGTGGGGTGGTGGGAGGGGAAGGTGAAAGGAAAGAAGGGAAAGGAAAAATTATGAGTAAGGAAAAAAAATGGAAACGAAATCTATGTAAATAGGGAAGGGTGGAGGGGGTGAAGGGCGCACAGGTAATGGGGGAAAAATAAGAACCAAGATACATTATGTAGAGGTACAAGCACCCAATGATAAATGAAAACATATTATATACCTCAAATGTACCAATAAAAGAATTTAAGGAAAAAAAAAGAATCATACCACAGTGATATATGTGCACCCATGCTCATACAGCACAATTTGTAATAGCTAAAACTTGGAAGCAGCCCAATTGCCCACCAACTGGAAACTGGATAAAGAAAATGTTGTGGTTTTTTAAAATAAAATGGAGTACTACTCAGCCATAAAAAATGAGAAATTAGAGACATTTATAGCTAAATGGATGCACATTGAAGCGACACTCTTAAGTGATATTAATAGGACACACGTGTAAATACTGAATAGTTTCTCTGGTGTAAGAAACTGAAAGTGTAAATAAGGACTAAAAGGTATAATAGATAAAGTGAAATAGGAAAAAAAGGGGCAAAGGGGAAGGGAAGTGGGAGGGGTAGGGGAAAGGAAAGAAGGGAATGGAATATGAAAAAATGAAAAAATGGAAATAAAGTCTTTGTAAATAGGGTCGGTTGGACGGGGTGAAGGGCGGGAAGGGGGAAAAATAAGAACCAAGAGAGATTATGTAAAGGTGCAAATTTCCAGTGATGCATGTCAATATTTTATACCCAAAATGTACCAATATAAAATGAAATTTCCCCGGGGAACCGAAGAATATATTGACAGTTCACCGTTTCCGTTCTGAGCTAGGCGGCAAGGACAGTAGAGGCGAAGGAAAGGGCTGGAGAGAGGAGCCGAGCGAACTCCGGAGGACTGCAGGATAGAGAGCCCTCCGGGTCTGGGCGTCTAAGGTGCGCGGGCGGGCCCGGGACGTCGTAAATCCGTCCAGAGGAGGCCTGGGGGTGCAAGGCTACGCGGAGCGTGGGGCGTGGCCATGGGCGGGGCTCTGCGCTGCTCCAAAAGTCGAAAGGCGGGGGAGAGGCCTACGCGTGCTCTGGCCAATCAAGAACCTATTTCCGGTCTTCCTCTGAAAATCGTCTTGCCTTGGCCTCTTCTGTCTCTTGTTTCCCTCCGGCGACTTGTTGCGTGGTGCGAATTTCCGTTTCCGGTGGTCTCCATGCGGACCTGAGGAGTAACTGTTGTCAGTCAAGTAACTGTCGCAGACCGGCAGAGTCGACGGCAGTGGGCCGGGTCAGGTCCTGAGTCTACCCGGTGAGTCCTCGTCAGGCCCGGACCCGGTGTCCCGAGAGCTTCGGCCGGACCGACGCTTCTCCGCGGGAGTGGAGAGTGGCGGAGGGATCGGTGTAGTATGGGCCCGGTGGTTCCCTGGGCCCCGGGCGGTGCTGTTCCCCAGCGTCCGCGCGCGGGACACGGCCGGGCCTGCCCGCGATAGGACAGCCTCTGCCCAGCAAAGGAAGCTGGGCAGCCTTTAATATGCTTCAGACATTTTCAGGGGGGTTTTTTTGTGGTTTTTTTGGTACCTGGGATCGAACTCGGGACCTTGTGCTAAATAAGCAGGCGGCGGTTACTTCAGTTTTAATTGAAGTTAGAAAACCACTTAATAGCCCTGAGCTGTCCAGTGTGTTAGCCACTGCTTATTGTCGCTGTTTAAATTTAGAATAAATTAAAATGAAAAATTCAGTTTTTCAGTTTTCCTTGGTGCACTTGAGAGTCACAGTAACCACGTGCGACTAATAGCTACTGTACTGAAAGCACAGGTAGAGAATATTCCGTCATTACAGGCACAAGCCCTGCTGATGTTGACAGGATGAACAAAGAGTAACAAGTTTAAAAGGGAGCCTTAGCACAGAGAACTTATGTAACTATGTATGGTACATTCTAGCGAAGTGAAATTGAGCGTGGTATTAAGCAGTTTCTACCTCTGTTGGGTGAACAGCTAAATAATCTCTAAATGAAGAAATAAATAAAATTTACTGTTTTTTCTGGTGATGCCCAATTGTAAAATACCTCCCCCATCCTCCCATCTCTTTCCATGTAAGTTTGAGTTACTTGTGAGTTGACAAGTAGCCACTATGGAGACTAAAGATCAGAAGAAACACAGAAAGAAACACAGTGGGCCCAAAGCTGAGAAAAAAAAGAAGCGGCATCTGCAGGATCTTCATCTTGGAGACGAAGAAGATGCTCGGAAGAGAAACCCCAGAGCTTTTGCGGTCCAATCTGCTGTGCGTATGGCCCGATCATTTCATAGGTGTGTATAGCTGGGCTCTGTTGGTTCTTCATTTATTCTTCCTTAAATGATAGGAGCCTCACAGATGACATTTGGCTTTATGAGTCTAATCCAGCTCACATAATACGTGCTGTATGGCTTTTACCAAAGTATGAGAAGCCTTTTCCGTAGATGTTACTTTTCCTCCAGCATCTCCTGACATGTTGGCTTTTTTTTTTTACCCAAGGAAAAAGAATTTATAGAATTTATGAAATTTACTTCTGAACTTCAAACATAATCTCTCTGGTGATGTGTGCTTTTAAAAAATATCTTTTATATAATTTTAGTTATACTTTGAAATACTAAAATTATAATTTTTATTAATAAATTTACCACTTTATTTAGGGAGTCCTTGCTATATATCCAGCAGTGTACTTTGGTGGCAGCACCACTGAGCTAAACCCCTGGCCCTTTTTTTTTTTTTGAGACAAGGTCTCCCTCTGCAGTTCAGGCTGGCCTTGGACTCATTGTGTATGTAGTGCAGGCTGGCCTCAAACTTGTGGTAATCCCCCTTCCTCAGTGCTGGGATTACAGGTGTGTGCCACCACACCTGGCAAAAATTATGATTGCCTGAATTTTATGGATAAGAAATCTGAGACTCAGAGTTAGTTACCCCGAGTCATATAAAACCAGTAAGTAGAATGGCCAAACTTATCTCCAAAGCCTTTGCTTTGATTTTTTATGATATATTTATTGCCTCAGTGTTTGCTTTTTGTTTTCTTTTAAACTATTAAATCATAAAACAGTCAAATTTAAGATGTATTGAATTTTCAACTCTCTACTTTTATACTTTGTTATATTTGTATTGAAGAGCAATTATCTGGATTGGAGCCAGAGATTAATTAGTTCATTATATTCATGTGTTGTCTGTTCTCTATAAAATCTGCTTATAAGGTTGAGCTTATAAGGTTTATTCCTTCTGTAAATTAAAAGTCAATTTCCTTTTTTTTTATAAATAGGACTCAGGATTTAAAGACAAAAAAGCATCACATTCCGGTGGTTGACCGAACCCCACTAGAGCCCCCACCAATAGTGGTAGTGGTGATGGGGCCTCCAAAAGTTGGGAAGAGCACTTTGATACAGTGCCTCATTCGGAACTTCACCAGGCAGAAGCTGACTGAGATCAGAGGCCCTGTGACGATCGTTTCAGGTAAGGCCTGCTGCCTCAGAGGTGATGTGGCAAGTGTCATTTGAGGGACATGGATGTCTTTGTTGTTTCCATGAGTAGAAATGTTAAAATGATATTGTCACATCATATTATCTCTCTTTTGCTCTTTTGTGTTGGCTGTAGCATCAGAAAGGGCTAGGTTCCTAGGAATAATGATGTAGATACGCACCTTACTCTGACTGCTCCACTGACTTGGCCAGGGGTACAGAAAGACTTAACAGCCTGGTTCCTGTGAGGGCATCCATTTAATAATAAAGATGTGCACCATGCACAGCTGTTTGCCATCTCAAAGCCACAGTCTTGTGGAGACAAGAGCAAGTTTTCTTCTTCTTTGAGAATTTGCCTGCTTTGGTTAATGGTGGTCTTTAAAAGTTAGAGGGGAAAAAAAAATCAAATTACCAAAATGGCAATGGTAAAATCTGAATCTAGTGTTATAACAATAATGTAGTCAGATAGATGCTTTATTTTTTATTTTTTGGACCATACTAGGGATTAAATCCAGGACCTTGCACATCTTAGGTAAGTGGTCTACCAGTGAGCTGCATTCCTAGCCTTTTTGTTCAAAACAGGGTCTTACCAAGTTGCCCAGGCTGCATCTAACTTGTGATCCTGCTGCAGCGTCCTGCATAAGTGGGATCACAAGTGTTCACGACCACACCTGGTGAGGCTTTTCTTTATTTTTAAGGCATCCTTGTGTTCTTGACAATTTTGTTTTTTGCGTTAGACATAATTACTGTTCACGAGCATTCTGTTGTGTTATGTTTGAGGACGCTTTTAGTTATAATGAATGTGGAAAAATTTGATGAAGGTGGGGTCACAGCTGTGAAACCTGAAGTCAGTTTTGTCTATGTGAGCACTTTTATTTACTTGGGTACACTTGATATTTTAGAATTAAAGGGAACATAGCAAGAAAACCAACAAATTTATTTCACCATTTTTCTCCTATAAAAGAATATTTCATGTACTCCCATAAATTTATATGGTATTTTATTGGATGCAGTTAAATGATGGAGTTAGGGCAGGGGATGTAGCTCAGTGGTGCCATGCCTGCCTGGCAAGTGCAAGGTCCTGAGTTCAATCCCTGGTACCGCCAAAAAAAAAAAAAAATGATAGAGTTAACAAATAGTCTTTTCAGGATTTTTAAAAAATAAAGTTTTTGTGCTGGGGATTTAGCTCAATGGTTCAGGCGCCTGCTTTGTAGGCTCAAGGTCCCAAGTTTTTGTCTTTCCATTTATAGGTAAAAAGCGCAGACTCACCTTCATTGAATGTGGGTGTGACATAAACATGATGATTGATCTGGCTAAAGTTGCAGATCTGGTAAGTCACTGGAGAAGCCTGGGTTTCTGATGGGACCTGCAGTAGTGTGGTGGATTACTCATCCCGTATTGGAAGAAAGAAATATGTAGTCATTGGAGAAATAATGAATATCATCAGGGATACAGTAGATGGAATTGAATGATAGTAACACTCTTAACTACTGTTACACAGCACATGTATAAAAAATGTGGTCTTGATTGTATTTTAGAATTCGTAGTGGTCATTATTTCTGATAATTTCATTATTAGTTTTAAACTAGTATGGTAGGATGAGCAGTATCTTGGGTGGTTTTGTTTGTTTGTTTTGGGTTTTCTTTTGTTTCCCTTTTCAGCTGCTTCTAGAAAGCTGTTTGGTTATAAAGAGCGATAGATTTTTTCCTTTGCCCAGGAAGACTCTTAAAACATGAAGTAAAATTTATGTAGATTTTTAAAGCTGTACCATTTTGTTTTATTATTTATTTATTTATTTATTTGAGACAGGGTCTTGCTTTGTAGTGCAGACTGGTCTTGAGGTCACTGTAGCGCACACTGGCCTCAAACTCATGTGATCCTCCTCCCTCAGCCTCCTGAGTGCTGAGATTATAGGTGTGCACCACCACACCTGGCTAGCTGTGCCATTTTAATGACAGAAAACCAAGTACTGTTCAATTTTTTGTTTTCTTTTGTTTTTTTGGGGTTTTTTGAGACCGGGTCTTTCTGTGCAGTTCATGCTGGCCTCAGACTCACTATATAGTCCAGGCTGGTCTTGAATTTGTGGTTATCCTCCTGCCTCAGCCTCCCAAGTGCTGGGATTACAGGTGTGTGCCACCATGCCTGGCCACCATTTCAGTTTTGAACATGTAACTACCATTAGTAAAAATAAATGTTATTGTCAACACAAAGTGACATTCATGTACTAACCTGTTAGTTTTGAAATGATTGAAGTAGTAATAATTTAATTTAGAAAGCATCATACTAGCAAAGATTCCTTTTACATAAATATTGTAAAGATTTTAGTAAACACACAAACTTGATGAAATACTCCAGCTGTGTTGTGGGGGTCTACAACAGTGCACATTTTCTCTTTCCTTGTTCTGTCCCGTCTTTGGTTCCCTTAAGAGCTGTGTCCCAGATCCATGTAAACACACATCCAGCCCTGTGCACACACAAGTGAGAGTTGATTAGATAGACTCTTCTGTGCTCTCCTTTCTTCGTGTACTATTTCTTGGACCTATTAAATCAGCAAGTTTTATGGCTTAACCTCATTCTTTTTAATAATAGCACTGTATTCTGGCTCTGCTATTGTTTATTTAATCTGATTTATGTTGACTGCTCTGCTCTGCGTTGTCTTGATGCCTGCTAAGTCATGGCAGAAGACACAGGACACGTGGGTTAGGGTGTGGACTGAAGGAGGGAAATATGGTTGGCAAAGATGGCAGCCAAAGAGCATTTGCTGCCTGTTGCTGATGTAGCTTGGCTCCCCCCACCCCCAGCTCTGATGTCAGCTGACTTCACAGCCACAGCCCACCCACCTTGTTCCAGTCACTCAAGAGCTTTGCAGGTTTCCTGGCCTGCAGTCTACAGCAGCACCCGTGCTTCTCAGCACACACAGGCGCCTGCATGCATGTGTTTGTGGCTTAGGATCATGGAATGCTCCCTCATTTAATCAAAGATAGATGTTTTTTCTGTTTTTTGACTATTTAAGTTAGCTACAGAAAGATGAGAACAAAAATGTCTTTGATAGCTAAAACAGTCTTCAGCAGTCAACTCTGATATTAATTGCATATTTGAAGAGTTTTAAATTTTAATAATTGGTCTCATTTGCTCATTTTGCTTTATAGATCATTATTCATAATTTTACTATTTTTTGACTCAGTTCTGAACAGCTTTTCTAAAAAAATAATTTCTAATTGGGCCTGGTGGCACATACCTGTAGTCCCAGCAGTCTGGGAGGCTGAGGCAGGAGGATGGCGAGTTTGAGCCCAGCCTTGGCAACTTAGCGAGATCCTATCTCAAAACAAAAAAATTAAATGGGCTGGAGAATGTGGCTCAATGCAAAGACCTTGGGTTCAATCTTCAGTACTAGAAAAAAAAGCCAAATAATAGTATGCAACCACTTAACATATAACAGAACTTTCCTACTATATACACTCTAGGAAAAAAAGATTAGCTTTCTCTTACTAGAAAACTGAAACTAAAGATCAGTTTTTATACACTTTTAATATTTTATTATTGATTATCACTTTTTCTCATCTTTTGGATGTCAGAGGCCTATTTGGTTCCCTTATTAGAGGTTAATTGACTTGAAAATATGTTATCAAAAGCTTCATTTATTGAAGTCAGGATTTCTCATCCAGGGGGCAGATTTGGCCCAGCCTTTTTTGAGTTCTTATCCACAGATTCTTTTTTTTTTTTCCCTTAAATTCTTTTATTGGTACATTTTAGGTATACAGTACATTTATATTTATCATTGGGTGCTTGTACCTGTACCTGATGCATCTTGGTTCTTATTTTTTCCCCTATTCCCTGTTCTCCCTTGACCCCTTCCACCCTTCCCTATTTACAAAGACTTTGTTTACATTTTTTCCTTTTCTCATAATTTTCCCTTTCCCCTTCCCCTCCCACTTCCCCTACCCCTTTGAACCTTTTCTTCCTATTTGAAGTTATCAATTATTCATTTTAATCATTTTAATCCTTATTTACACTTTCAGTTTCTCACACCAGAGAAACTGTTTGGTATTTACACATGTGGGTCCTATTTATTTCACTTAAGAGTATGGCCTCAATATACATCCATTTAGCTATAAATGTTTCTGGCTGAGTAGCACTCCATTTTATAAAAAAAACCACATCTTCTTTATCCAGTTTCCAGTTGTTGGGCACTTGAGCTGTTTCCAAGCTTTCGTTATTACAAACTGTGCCGCTGTAAACATGGGTGCACATATGTTGCTGTGGTCATACAGATTCTTGAGATGGAAGTTGATGTCCCGGTGGGCATCTTGGTCTGGTGAGAGAGCGTTGGTTTCTCTGTCCAGGTGCATCCTGGCAGTCATGGGGTTGAGGCTAGAGCAGAGAGCAGCAGCCCTTTCTTGAAAAGGGCCAGAGAGAAAACGTCTCAGACTTTATGTGTCCCATAGTTTCCATTGCTACTATTCAGCCCTGCAGTTGTAGTGCAGAAGCCGTTGCAGACAAGTAAATCCATGTGGCCATGTTCCAATAAAACTGGTTGCAAAAAAAGGTATGGGCTAGATTTATCCTGACCCCTGGTCTAGATGGTCCATTTTGGTGGTTTCCTAGAGAACTTGTGTATTCTATTTTTAGGTGCTAATGCTTATAGATGCCAGCTTTGGGTTTGAAATGGAAACATTTGAGTTTCTAAACATCTGTCAAGTACATGGCTTTCCTAAAATTATGGGAATTCTCACCCATCTGGACTCCTTCAAGCATAATAAGCAATTAAAGAAGACCAAGAAGCGATTAAAACACAGATTCTGGACAGAAGTCTATCCGGTAGGAAGAGAAATCATTACTGAATACTAAGATAATCCTCTCTAACTAGAATAAAGAGAGGCTAATGAGTGTCTCTGGGATTCACCTCTCGAGTCTCCTGTATGTATCTGTTCCCAGTCCCGGGCCTGTTTCTCTTGAGTCTTTATTTTGGGATACTTGGTATATCTCATGTGTCTCCCCCAGCAGACAGTGTCTGGCTCTGTGTTTTGGGGCCATGAATGAAACAAGTTAAGGATCAGGAGGTACCTCTCTTCCCTCCTTTTCACACCACTGTGACCCCATTGGTCACGGGATCCTTTCTCTGCTTGGGATCCTCACCATCCCCTCCTTGTGGCGTCTGCACAGGCACCACTGACTGGAGAGCCATGGGGTCCTCACATGACAAGTCCTGGAGAAGTACCAGGACGGGCTTTGCTGGAGGTCTCTCCTCTTAGGGTTGCTTCTCATTTAAGGCTGTTGTTTTGGCACAGTATTTATAGGAATGTCACTGAAATTTCATATTTATGTATGTATGTATTTTGATGTTAGGGCGCCAAGCTCTTTTACCTCTCTGGAATGGTACATGGAGAATATCAGAACCAAGAGATTCACAACCTGGGTCGTTTTATCACAGTTATGAAGTTCAGGCCTCTCACGTGGCAAACTTCTCATCCTTATATCCTGGCAGACAGGTAAAAATGAATACAAACTTTTCCTTCCTGGCTCATGTATTTCAAAGCTGAAGAGGTTAGAAAAAGAATGATGATAGAACTTACTTTGGGCCATCATTGAAAGATGTTGTGCCTTTGGGAGTGAATAAAACATGAATTGTTTAGAATCAGAAGATCTTGAAGCACCGAAGACTGCAGATGTGGCCCCTGCCATCTTTTCCACTTGGTTTCCCGGGGTGTGACTCTCAGGTCCTGGTGCTCTGGCCAGAGTGTCTGCACTGTGCTTGCTTTTAGCTTTCTAGGACCCCCTTCCTCCTACTGGAGCCCAGCTGCAGTAGGATGCCGCATCCCAGGTTAGCCCTCTGATTTTCCTGACCCCAGGTGGATGTCGTCTCCCTCCCTGGCATCCGTGAGACACATGGTGCATTTGCTCCCTCTCCTCTGGTCGATGGTGAACTGTGCTTCCTGTATTTTCTCATTTTCTAAACAACATGCCTAATGAACAAGAAATTGATGGGTCATCAGCACATGAAGGGAGATTAGAGGGCTGTTGGCATTTGTTTCTTCCATGTGACTGAATTTTATTTTTCTAGGATGGAAGATTTGACAAACCCTGAGGATATCCGGACAAACATCAAGTGTGACCGAAAGGTGTCTCTGTATGGTTATTTACGAGGAGCACACTTGAAAAATAAAAGCCAAATTCACATGCCAGGTATCCCCTTGTAAAAAAAAATAGTGTATTTGTGGAACTTTGGGAATGACTTCATTTCTTGGAGAAAACTGAAAAATGACCAAATGCCTTGCTGGAGGGTTTTTGTTTATTTGCTTGTTTGGGTTTTTTGTACTGGGAACTGAACCCAGGGCCTTTACACTGAGCTACATCCATCACCCTTTATTTTTTGTTTTAAGACACAATCTTGCTAGTTGTTAAATTACCTAGGCTGGGCTCCACCATACCTAGCTCACTAGGGGTTTTAAAAGTTAAGCCAAGTGTGGTGATACACCTGTAATCCCAACCATAAGGAGGCTCTGAGGCAGGAGCATTGACAGTTCCACTTCTGCCTGGGCAGTTTATCAAGATCCTGTCTCAAAACTTTTTTTTTTTGGTGCTAGGGATCAAACTCGAGACCTTGTGCTTTCGAGTCAGGCTGTGGAACCACTGAGCTAAATCCCCAGGGGCCCGCCCCCCATCCTCAAAATTTTAAAAAGCGCTAGGGATGTAGTTAAGTGATAGAGCACCCCTGGGTGTTGATCCCCAGTATGGCTCCCCCCAAAAAACAAAATAAAACCCAACCCTACTTATGTGTCATGCAGCAAAAGTGCTAAGTGGATGCTGTCGTCAGGTGGCTAGAGAGGCATGGTACACCCTGTTGAATGGTGCCCTTCTTATACGCCAGTTTGAGCCTTCAGCCTATGGGACACTTTCTAGCTGTGGCTACTTGTTGGCTTGCTGTCAGCTAACCTGCCCCTCCCCCCAGGTGTTGGAGATTTTGCTGTGAGCGATGTCAGTTTCCTCCCAGACCCTTGTGCTCTTCCTGAACAGCTAAAGAAGCGCTGTCTAAACGAGAAGGAAAAGCTGGTTTATGCACCTCTCTCTGGAGTTGGGGGTGTGCTGTATGACAAAGATGCTGTCTATGTTGACCTCGGTGGCAGCCATGGCTTTCAGGAATTGGTAAGAAGGGAGGCTACTCCGAACTCTTTCCAATCTGTTTCACCACAGTAATGCATCATTTTTATTTATTGAAGCCTTTTCTCCTCATCCATCTTTATACTGAGGCCCAAAAACATATTTCAAGGAGGTAAAATATCTGAGTGCCTCATTGTATCAACCAGAAACGAAGCATCCTATCCTCCTCTCCTCTCTAGCCCTGACCCATGGCTCCCAGCATGGGCACCCTGGCTCGGGAGGAACCTGTGAGGCCCATTTTCTCCATACAAACCAGCCTGTTTTCCAGCTCTTGCTGGTCTCTTATTCAGAATAGTTTTGTCTTGTTTTTTGAAATGGACTCCAGATTTTTTATTTTGTGAAGTGAGATTATTATTGGGTTAAAATAATCTTTGTTTGTTTTCTGGTACCGGGGATTGAACTCGGGACCTTGTGCTTGTGAGGCAGGCGGTAGAACCACTGAGCTAAATCCCTGGACCTAAAATAATGTTTTTAAAAGCATTGGGATCTAAGATTTTTCTAGCTAAGCATTTGATGATATACCCCATGGATGTTGGAAAAGAATTAAAGAAGATGGAATTTCAAACTTTGTTGTAAGGATTCTTTTTAAGGACATAAGAAAGGTTTTCAGGAACTGTGTTTAGAGTACTTTTTGTGATGCTGATTGAAATCAGTGTCTCCAGAATCCTTCTGCTCTCCTCACTTGCCTTCCTTGGTGGTTTGACAGGCGGTGGGGCCCACCCAGGAGCTGGTCCAGAGTCTCATTGCCACCCAGTCCACTATTGATGCCAAGATGGCTTCAAGCAGAGTGACACTTTTTTCTGATTCCAAACCTTTGGGTTCAGAGGATATAGATAACCAAGGGTAAGTGTACTTTTCCCCTGTTTTTAGTAAATGTTGCATTACAAAGCATCCTGTCACCCATCATTCTGCTGTTGTATCACACCAGCACTAGGTTGCTATTTTGCATTGTGCATGCGTTTCTCAAGGTTCTTTTGACTTATGTGATATTATGTGGGAGCATTTCTCAACTTTTAGGATTTGTTTTCATCAGAAATAGTCCTCAGGGACCAGGGATTTAGCTCAGTGGTTTCACTGCCTGCCTCACAAGCACAAGGACCTGAGTTTGATCCCTGATACCAAAAAAAAAAGTCCTCAAATACCATCGTGTCTTTTCTATGGGGAACTTGTAGTTTCCTAGGAGACCTGAGGCTGCTTAGCTTTCTGTTTGTGGCCCACAACGTAGAGCAGAGTCCAGTGCTGTCCAGAGCCACACACTTTGTCTGGAAGTTTTGCTGAATTGTATTGTATCTCTGGGGTGATGTCCACTAATGTAGAGCTTATGTGAATTATTTCTGACTCAGGGTTGGGAATTTGTCTACTTTCATGCTTACGGGGTGTATTGATTTATGCCACCTACTTAGTCTGGAAATGATCATGATTATCTAGTATATAATTTGTTCTGGTGTGCATAAACATTCAGCATTGTACCTAACAGATAAAGAAGTGTTCACTGAAAGGTTCCTACTACTGTCATCAGTGTTATAATTAGCTGTTTGCATTTTTATGTGTTATTCTTGTCATCCTTGTCAGTGTGGATTCTCCTTTCTAACAGTTACAATGCATTTAAAAATTTTTTAAATTTTAGTATCCTGAGCATTTCTTTTTGTTTTGCAGTACTAGGGATTGAACCCTAGAACTACATCCCTGTTTTTTTGTTTTTGTTTTTAAAAATTTTATCTTAATTTTTCTTGAGATAGGATCTTGCCAGATTACCCAGGCTGGGTTCAAACTTGTGATCCTCCTGCTTCAGCCTCCCTGAGTACTGGGATTATGGGCATGTGCCACCACAGCTGTCAGCATTTTCTTTTTCTGAAATCTCCATATAGTCATTATTTTGTTATTATTGGTGTACTCTGACTTACTCTCTTATAGTGCCGTTTCAGTTTTTTACACTTGATGTTTTCCTAATTTTATATGTAGCACCATGTTAAGTAGCTTTATGTAGTTTTTATTTCATCCTGTAGCTTTAGAATCTTAACAGTTTTTAATATGAGAAAATGGAAGAATGGAAACAAAGTCTTCGTAAATAGGGAGGGGTGGAGGGTTCATGAAGGGAGAGCAGGGGAAGGGGGAAAAATAAGAGAGATTATGTAAAGGTGCAAATTTCCAATGATGAATGTCATTATATTGTATACCTAAAATGTACCAATGATTAGAATGAATAATTGACAATGAGAAATAGGAAGAAAAGGTCCAAAGGGGTAGGGGAAGTGGGAGGGGCAAAGGAAGGAAAAATTATGAGAAATGGAAAAAATGGAAACAAAGCCTTTGTCTATAGGGAAGGGTGGAGGGGGTGAAGGGAGGGCTAGGAATGGGGAAAAAATAAGAACCAAGATGCATTATGTAAAGGTACAAGTTCCCAATGAGAAATGTAATTGTGTTGTAGACCTAAAATGTACCAATAAAAGAATTAAAAAAAAAAAAAGAATCTTAACAATTCTGCAGTTACGGTGTTAGTGACTTCAAAATGGCAATTGTCTTAGTCACTTCCTCATTGCTGGGACAAAATACTTGACACCTGCAACTTGAAGAGGAGAGGCTTATTTTGGGTCACACAGTTCAGGAGTTTCAGTCCATGTTTGGCAGGCTTAAAAAATGGCATGGCAGAAGGGCCTGGGTGGGGAAAAGCTTCCCATGTTACAGTTGCCAGGAAGCAGAGAGAGAAGGGAGCTTGGCAGTCAATAGACTCTTCCAGGTCCTGTCCCCAGTGACTGGGCCCCACCTCCTAACAGCAGATCAGCAGTGAGCCCCCTGAAGTCTTAGGGGACATCTAGATCTAAACCACATCAGCAGTTTTCTTGTCTGTCATTCCTTTGACATCAGCTGGCTTTCTTTAGTAAAGAGCATTCACGTCTTCTCTGTTTCAGTGTCGCTGTTGACTAATGAGCTTTTGCTTTATTCCATGTGTTAGTACCCCATTGCTGCTATTATTCTTACATCTGCGTTGTCCCCGATTTGGCCACAGGAGGGCTCAGTCTGTTTTCTGCATCCTGTTGTGTATCTCTGCTAGTTTCTGAGTATCTCTTATGTTCTGTACCAAAGAATGGTCCAGTTTACTTTTTTTTTTGGTATAATTTTTTTTTTTTCCTCTGGTACTGGGGATCAAACTCAGGACCTTGTTCTTTTGAGACAGGTGCAACACCACTGAGCTAAATCCCCAGCCCCTTGGTCCATCTTACTTTGTCCTGTCCCTGCTGCAAGCCTGGAGCCAGCATTTCCTACTTGGAAATCTGTTTTCCAAAAGATCTACTAAACACTAACCTCCCTTTTGAACAGTTTTCCTGAAATTAGGGGTTTTTGTTTCATTTTGTTTTTTAAAAACTCTTCCCTTTATTCTTCCTGTCAGTTCTTTACAAGTGTCTTGCTAGAGTATAAGTTTGCTTATTAACTATGCTAGTGTTTATCAGATCATTTTTTCTGTGCGATGTTCCTTTAAACTATTCCTTGACATTTCTGTTTCTTTGCATTTTTATGAACTAGATGCCATTTCTAGATTACAGTTACTGTACATGCTGAACTATTTTCATTTATGTGGTAATGCAGGCTGTGGATGCCAAAAGAAGAAAAGCAGCTGGATGTGAGCACGGGTCGAGTGCGTCGCAGAGCCGTGTTTGAAGATGGAGATGAATCTGGAGGTAGTGATGAGGAAGATGATGAAGGGTCTGACAGTGACAGACTGGGAGGTGACTCTAGTGATGAGATAGAAGGGGAAGGTGCTAAAGGGACTGAATGTGAGTACATGGCTGTCAAGGGCATTAAGCGGCAGAAACTGGAGATGGAGGAAGATAATGAGCTGGACTTGCCAGCATTTGCTGACAGTGACGATGACCTTGAGAGGAGCTCAGAGGAGGAAGCCAATGGCAGCAGTGAAGATGATGACTTTAGTGGAGAGGGGGACATTTTAAAGTTGAAGGCTGATGGAGAAGGTGGCAAAGCAAGACTTTTGCCATCTGGCTGGTGGAGTGACCACCAGAACCTGGAGAAGTCTTTGCCAATGAGAAAAACAGCCCTCGCCACTTCCGACTCTGGCCGGTGCACAGTGGAGGAGGCCCTTGCATCTGGAGAAAGCTCCTCACCCAGCTCAGAGGAGGAGGATGCAGGAGACAGAGAGGCTGCTGGGGACAAGCATGCACGGCCTTCTAGAAGATACCATGGTCAGAAACCAGGGTCAAAGGACTTGATTGAGGAGACCAGTGATATCGAAGATTTACTCAAGAAAGAAGAAGATTACAAGGAAGAAAATAACTATTCCACGGAAACATCAGGTGAGTAACTACAGGAACTTCAAGTATGCTTAAGTTTAATCGGCTGCTTCTAGAAACTTGGCACGTGAAATGTTGCTGTCAGTATGGTGCCCATGTTTGGGATCTGCTGTTGGGAGATTTTGTTACCTGTTCAGATGCTGCGCTGTGAGCTTGAAGCAGAGAGGATGGTAAGCAGGTGTAACTGGCTCTCAGTGTTGTGTTCCAGGGGCTGTCAAGTGGAAGGAAGATCTCTCCAGGAAGGCAGCAGAGGCCTTTCTGCGGCAGCAGCAGGCAGCACCAAACCTCCGAAAGCTTGTTTATGGCACAGGTAAAGAGCTCTGGCTTAGAGCTACAAATATTTAGTGTTTTTAGATTATAGTCTGTAAAAGAGATGAAGGAGTTGGTTGGGAGACTGGGGCAGTACTTTTGACATCCATAATTCCTGGCTGTCATAGTTTACATTTGGCAGATGTTTTTAATCAGCTCATGAGCGCCACAGATTGGTTATATGAAGTAGACTTAGGGTTTGCCATAAAATTTTTGATGAGAATACTGTGCATTATGTCATTTCATACTCAATATTTAAAAGTCGTACATGAGAAATTTTTGTAAAATTCAATGGAATTAAAAATATTTCTGGAAAATATTTGTCTATAAAAACTTTTGTTTTTCTTTTCTGAGAATGCGAACTCTGGGTAATACAGCCTGTTTCTCTTTTACCCTGGTCCTCTGATTTTATAGCTTCAGGCTCACCTGTATGTTCGTTTTGGAAAAATGAATATAAAGTGGTGTACATTAAACTGTGCTCTTCAGTTACCATATGAGTAGACACTTTGAAATAGGAGCATCAAATTGGAGGCTTGGTATATGTTGATTTTCTTTTCAGATTTGCTGAAAGACTTCAGTCATTAAGGACTCAGCACTCTGCATAGAAACAATATAGTAATTTAAAGCTCTGCATTTAAGTGTCACGACCTGCCCCAATTCTTGCTCCATTCCTGGTGGCATCTCCTGGCATTTCCATCTGTGGCTGAGGTGTTCTTTGTGGCTGTCTCAGGGCCACCATTGTGCCCACCACACACGAGGACGTGCAGTCCCCGGGGTTCTAGGACAAGGGGCTTAACTGGTTGGTACATAATCCTCTAGGGCTGAAGATTTTGATCTCATTTTGCCATTGTGGTGGTCCCTTTAGTGACAGAAGATGCTGAAGATGATGACAGAGATGGCCAAGAAGAGCTGGGAGGGCTGTTCCACATCAGGCAGCCTGATGGAGGCTGCAAGTATAAGGCTGATGCATTGGACTGCTCCAGGTTTCCTGTGCAAGCACCTCATAATTGGGATTTGGAGGAGGTGAGGCGGAACCACGTGTTCACCTCAGGAATGAATAAGAGGATTGTGTTAGAACACGGTAAACCTTTTAGAGACTGAGGGCCCAAACTGCAGCCCAAAACCCACTTACCGCAAAGTGCCAACACTACAATTAAACCTGAATACTGAGATTTTAGTTTAGAAAAAACAGCTCATACACTTGGCTCGCAAGCCGACAGAGAGGGCTCTGTGTGCCCATTGTGGCACGTGTGCCAGAGGTTCACTGCCGTTTTTTTAGAATCTTATCTGCTTAGTGTTGCTTCCCCACTGTTGGCCTCTTATTTTCACAGCAGGTCATTTTCTCACAGAGCGCAGTAGGTATTTCATGCATCCTGAGCAGTAACCTGCTCTGAGTTTAGTCACAACATGTGCATGTATCTTAGAAAAGGAAATTGTTCACCTTTTAGTGTGGATAGTAGCATTACCTTGATTTCAAGCATTGTGCAGAGATGTTTTTTCCGTGTTGTTTTTTTTTTTTGGTGCCGGGGATCAAACTTGGAACCTTGCGTTTGTGAGGCAGGCAGTGGAACCACTGAGCTAAATCCCCAGCCTCTGCAGAGAGTTTTTGTATGTTTGAAACATTGTGTATCTTATTACTGGGATATGCCTACTGTCCCAAGTTAAAATTTACAATTTCTACTTTCTGTAAAGAAATCCATGACACGGGCAGTGTTCTTCCCCCTGCCACTGCTCCCTAGTCAAACTGGAATTCACTCACTTCTCAAACTTACCAAAGCTTAATCCCATATTGGACCTTTCCACCTTCTGTTTTCTCTTCGTGGAATGTTCTTATCTTCTCAAGCCTAACTGCTTTTTGTCATCCAGTTTAGCATAAATATTACTCCTCAGAGAAGCCTAGATACTCTCATATTGCCTAATGTAATTCACTGTGTAGCTCTTACAAATTTTATCTAACAATTTTTTAATGATAAAATTTAATACAGACTTTTAAAAAATCACATAAAAATAATCATTTGACTCAGTGAGCTTCCAGAAGCTGATTCCAGTCAAGGAGTACATCCGGACTGCCCATTTCTCTTCTCCACAAGTTTGCCTTTTGAGTTTGTTATCACTAAACTGCGTAGTTTAGTTTTACTTGGTTTTTATTATTTTTCCTTTGCCTTTTAAATCTCTTAATCTGTAGTCTTCCCCACCTCCTGTCCCTGTTGTTTCCCTTACACTTCCTTTGTGGAAGAAGCCAAGTATTTGCTGGATAACATTTCTTTTATCCAGACCTCATGGGTGCGCTGCGTCCCTGTGGGCGGTGTGCCTGTCCCTCTCCTCCGGGTCCCCTTCAGATCAGCTCAGAGCCATGTGGGGAGGGGAGTGAGTCCCTCAGCCATCCAGGAGCTGCTTGTGGGCTAAGCACTTAGGTCAGCTGCTAGGACTGAAGAACTAAATGTTTTATTTAATCTTGAGTAGTATAAGATTGATTTAAATAGCCTAATGATTGTAGACAAAGCGTGCAAAAGTTGCATAAGGTGAGGTTTGATTTGATTTGTGGACAGGCGTACTTCCTAGGTGCTGGTGGTTTTTCAGTAGGAGGCCAGTAGAGTCTCGCTGTCTTTCCTCATATCAGCACTTGTGATATTCACTGTCGAGGGGCCCAGATTTCTTAATGCTCTAGAAGGAAGACTCACTTGTTTCTCTAGCATACTTCATATATATAGAATAATAGTAGAATGCTTTCATATAAAATAATATGTAGAAATAATAGTAGGATACTTTCATATAAAAAGTAGAATACTGTCATATAAACAGTAAAAACCTAAATTAAAAAAAATGTTCTGGAAATGGATTGCAACACTTCATGCGTGCCGTGTAAACTCATCACTGAGCCACATTTCTGGCCTCCATCTGGTACCATTTCCATAAGAAGTGCCAATTTCCTATAGTAGAAGATGGATTTTAGCCTCATAGTCAAGGCATGAGAGTGCTTATAAGTATGAGTCAGTCGTTTCCAGTCCTTCTCAGTGGCCAGACCGAGGGATTTATACAGATGTTTTCAGTTCATGTTCCGCACTGCATCTTAAGTCTGTGTCCATATTTTTGCTGGAGAATTATGCCCTGGTTGAATCTGAAGATGAAATTAGAAAATCATGTAATTCCTTATTTGGTCTATCCCTTATTATACATAAAACAATGTCAGACCAGCACTACACATAGTACCCTAAATATGACTGTGGAAAACTCTTTCACTTTTTCCTTTATAGGATTTCTCTTTCAGAAGCAGCTATGCCATTTTACATTTCTGCCAGCATTGTTTTGGTTTCACTTTGTCCACATCCTTACCAACACTTGTTATCTGTCTTTTTTTTTGTACCGGGGATTGAACTCAGGACCTTGGGCTTGCAGGCGGTGGCACCACTGAGCTAAATCCCATCCTGTTATCTGTCTTTTGACTATAGCTGTCCTAGAAAAACAGTGATACCTCACTGTGGTGTTCATTTGCATTTCCCTGACAGGTAATGATTCCCATATCATTTCATGTGCTTTTCGTCCATCTCTATAAATATTTGGAAGAAATACCTATTCATATTGTTTGGACATGGGTGAAGAGTTGCTTATGTATTCTGGATACAAGTCTGATATTATTATGATAAGGATCAGATACATAATTTGCAAGTATATGCTCCCATTCTATGGGAATTAAGTTTTCAAGCAGAAGTGGTAGATTTGGATTGACAAGTAGCAAGACTAACTTGCTAAAATGTCCCATTGCGTTGCCTTTGAAACATTTTTTTTTTTTTTTTTGGTGCTGGGGATTGAACTTGGGACCTTGCGCTTGTGAGGCAGGCGCCGGAACCACTGAGCTAAATCCCCAGCCCAATTAGAAACATTAATATACTGACAATTACCAAATATTGTTTACTTACGAGGTTAGTGGCCTAAGGGTACTTTCTTTATCCACTGTGTAATGTTGTGATCTTTGTGTTTTGGCTCTGTGGTCATATTGGCAGAGTCATCCTGAAGGCTCACCTGGCATGAAACTGTCCCTGGAAGCACCTTAGGAAGCACTTGCAGGGCAGCTGCTGCCTGCGGGGCACCTCGGTAGCAGGACCTTTTGGCGTGACTGGAGCATGTCACTGAGTGCTGCTTTTTGTGTCAGGTTATGAACAGTATCCGAGACTGCTTCGTGACGGGGGAGTGGGAAGAGGACAAGGACGCAGCCAAGATCTTAGCAAAAGATGGTAAGGCTATGTGTCCTCCTCTGTGTCTTAACCACAAGTTGGGAGTGATGGTGTACGTGCTCTGGGGAGCTCTGGCAATTGTAGGTAGTGCCCTGTTGTCTCCTTCCTCCCCTCTTTTAACCCATTGAATAGATATGGACCTTAAAGAAAACTGAGAAGCTTGCCATAAATTTGATCATGCATGTCTTGTTTTTAAAATTAATTCTTTATTGGTACTTTTCTTTTTTTGGTACTGGGGATTGAACTCAGGACCTTGCACTTGCAAGGCTGGTGGCGGCACCATTGAGCTAAATACCCGGCCCGATCATGCATTTCTTAAAAGTAGGTTTTTTTGTGTGTGAAAAATGTACCCAAATAATGTTTTTATTTTTCTTTTGAGGTTAAAGGTACTATGCATTGTAGAAAATTTAGAATTAAAAGTGCATATCATAGTAGAGTTCTTTAATCCATAAAAAAAAGCCTTTGTTAACCTTAGAGATTTTTTCTTCTAATCATTAAAATTGTGTTTGATTGTTATCATATGTAATAATACATTTTCCCATTAGATTTTTTTCAAAGATTTCATTGTTATGATTTGAATACCATACTGTAATTCAAGTCACAGTACTATTGTTTGAGATTTTAAACACTTTTTCAGTTTGTCTGTATTGTAAAGAGCTCTGTACTGGATGACTATTAAGCAACTCTTGGTACACATTTTTTATTTTCGTAAGCTAAAATTATGCTCTTACCAAATGGTCTTTTAGGAGGCCATTCTTAGTTAGGGTCCTGTGAGCATGTATCTTAATACTTATTTTACCATCATTCAGTATTGAGTACTGTCTATAATTTTTTTCCCAATTTGATAGATGAAAACTGGTTTCTATTTGTAATCAACATTTATTTGATTACTCATAAGTGAGAATATTTAAGGTGTTTTGGTGGTGGCATTTTTTTTGGTGAATTGATTGTGTCTCTTGCCCATTTTTCTGATGGGTATTTATATTTTTACTGATATATAAGCTTTCTCAAGTTTCTCAAAGACATTTATTGTTCATTTATTCCAAATATTTCCTTTTTGTTGTTTAATTTTTGAATTTTTACTATGATAATAAACATGTAAAAAGATTATGTAATTATGTCTAAAATCCTTATGTGGGGAGATTTCTTTTCCTTAATCTTTCCATGGAGATACCTTATGTATTATTTCCCTAGAGGTGGTTTCACAGGCTGTTGCTAGAGAGACTCCTATGGCCCCAAAAGAAAGTGCTTAAACTTGTGTTTCATCGAGGGAGCGATGCAGTGTCTTTGGGAGGTGCTGCTGCCTCCCTCTGAAAGCTGTGGCTGTGGAGCCCGCCTCCAGCTCTGGCAGCCCCTGCTTCCAAAAATCAGACTGAGAACGGATTTTGTTTCAAAGGACTAAAAGAAAAAACCCAAAATATTTTATGGTTTGAATACTATATGAAATTCACATTTCAGTTTTCATGATAAAGTGTTACTGGAATAGTCACATGAGTTTATTAGTACCAGAGTTGAGTGGTTGCAACAGGGCTATACAGCTAGAAAGCCTAAATATTTACTCCCTGTTTGTTTGCAAAAGTTTGGCAACCCAGGAGCCAGGTATAGTGGCGCACACCTGTAATCCCAGCACTTGGGAGGCTGAGGAAGGAGGATCACTGCTAGTTCGAGGCCAGCCTGGGCTACATAGTGAGTTTAAAATCAGCCTGAACCTACATAGTGAGACCCTGTCTGGGGGAAAAAAAAAAAAGTTTGACAGCCCAGATCTAGAGTGATACTTCAAATGCCTACTCACTCGAATAGTGACAGTGACTTTTGGAAGTCATCTGGCCCATTGTTGTGCAACATGTTCCTTGTGGTGTTAAGAAGCTCTCTTCCATTTCTCTCAGTCCTGTAAGCTGTGTTGTTAGGAGTAAAGGTTTGATTAGATTCAGGTTAAGCATTCCTAGCAGTTGTGCACCTATGTGTATGAAAATGGTACTCTTGGGGTAATTCTGGTTATCAGTTTGAGTTTTTCTGTGATCATTGGTTAAGTGTTTTTGATGGTAGTGGTTTATATTTTAATATTTTTGGGAATCATAATTTTTTTTCACTAAATAGAAGTTTCACTGGAATTTGGAGTTGTTATAGAATAAAAAATTTTTATCTGTTGTATTCACTTTATCATTTCCAGGTTTGTTCCTCTCAAGTTAGATTTACAAATTATCTATTTCTCAACCTGTGGATTTATTTTCAATTTTTCTGTTTTCTTCATGATCAGAAAATTAACGAGGTCTGACTTTTACTTATATTCCTTAGTTGGATTAGAAAAATTTTTTTGTTTTTGTTAGAGCCTGCTTTTTAAAAATTGAGGTAGAGCAGTGTTTAGCTTAGTCAGTTTTGACAGTTATGCACAGCTGCCTTCATGTGTGTAGAGTGTGTGGTGTGTGCCTTCATCACGTGTATAGGGTTGTGTGTGGTGGTGCATGCCTTCACATGTATAGGTCTATGTGTGTACAAACTTCACAGAGCATCCCATTGCAACAGGACCCCTTTTCTTGTTGTACTTTCTCAGGAGCCCACTCCCCTCCATGCTGTCCTCCCATTCCCGGTCCCTGGCCTGTAGGAAGCCTAGTCTGTTCCATGTCTACAGTCTTCTCTCAGGATGTGCAATACATGGAGTCATATGATCAGTAACCTCTAGGGTCTGAAGTTTTTCACTGGACACAGTTCCTGGGAGATCCTCAGACTATCCGCTGTCTGTCTAGCTCACCCTTCTTTATTGCTGAGTGGTGTCCCATGGAATGCACATGCCAGTGTGTTTAACCCCTCATCGGGAGAAGAGATCTGGACTGTTGCAGTTTGGGGTACTCATAACTGAGCTTCTATGAACGTGCGTTCTCATACAGGCAGTGCTGGGATGGGGAGAACCCAGGCCTTGCACATGCGTAGCCAGCATTCTACCCCTCAGCCACATCCCCAGTTCCTTCTGTGCACACTGGGGTACAGGTTTCTGTGTGAATACAAACTTCCAACCTCCTGGGATACATGCCCATGAATGCAGTTGCTGAGTGATCTGGTAAGTAGTTGAATATTGAGTCTTACCGGAAACTGCTACAGTGGTGGGGCCAGTTTGTATTTCCACAGCAGTGCACAAGTGACACCCGGTCTCTGTGTCCTCACCAGCGTGTGGTGCTCTCACTTTATTTCAGCCATAGTTACACACATTTAACGATACTTCTTCGTGTTTTTATTTTATATTTCCCTGATAGCTTATATTGTGCAGCACTTTTAGCATTTTTCAGTCTGCTTATTTGCCATCTTTATGTAAAATGTCTGGATGTCTGAATCTTTTTCTCATTGGGCTGATGGTTTTTGCTGTTGATTATTTGGAGTGCTTTATCGCAAATGTATACAGATAGAAAATGTCTATGGGTATCTTTTGCTCACTAAATTCTGGGACATTTTTGTTTTGTTTTTGGTAGATTAGGATTGTCTACATTGACAGTTGTGTAATCTGCAAATAGAAACAGTGTTGTTTCTTCCTTTTCCACCCATTTACCTTGTATTTTTTATTTTTTCCTTATTGCAGTGGCTGGGATGTCAGCATTGTGTTGAATAAGAGGCTGAGAGAGAATACCCTGCCTTTCTCCCCATCTTTTCCCTGGGAAGTCTGATGTTGGTTTGGTTATTTTGCACACACTGTTTGTGTGCTCTCTTTCCTTCTATTCTTTGAATACTGAGGATTTTCTTTTAAAGTCACAAATGGTGTTGAATTTTGTCTGGTGCCATGAAGGATCCATTGATATGATCATGTAGATTATATTCTTTACTCTTTGCTGTCATGGACTGTGATAACTTTTTGGACTGAACCAACTTTATATCTAGAATAAACCCCACTTGATCATAGTATGTACATCTTTTTATATGTTGTTGGATTCCACTGGGTATTTTGTTGAGGATTTTTATTGCATCCATGTTTATGACAGATATGGTTGTAGTTTTATTTTTGGTTTTGTTACGTTTTTGGTACTGTCTTCATCTGCTTTTGATGATAGGAAATATTAGCCTCATACAGTGGGTTGAAAGATGTTTCTTATTCTGTTTTTTGGAAGAATTTGAAGGATGAGAGCTTTAAATAATTTGGTATAGTTCTCCAGTAAAACTGTCTGGGCCTGAAGATTATTTATTCAGCTTCCAGTTCAGCTTCCAGTTACAAGTTGTATTTCTTTGATGGTTAGAAGATGACTGGGGTTATTAGTTTTCATGTTGACTGAATTATGGAAGCTTATGATTTTCAAGGAATTTCAAGGCTTGTTGGTGAGGTGAGAGTCAGCCAAGTACCTTCTCAGGCCAGCCTGAGTATTCTGAAGGTGATGTTCACAAAACAGTGTTTACTTGATTAATTTTTTTTTTCCTAAAATTTTGTTTTTTGAATTCTAATTATTAACACATCCCAATTGGGCAAGTTAATGGCATTTGCTGATTTTTCCATACATACACATTGTGCATTGATCGTGTGCAGCCACCCTTCTACTCTCCCCCATCTTCTCAGACCCCTTCCCAGTCCCTAATGGTACTTTTCTACTTTCAAGTCTTTTTTTAGTTTCCACATATGAGAGCGAACATGCAGTCCTTTTTTTTCCTGTGTCTGGATTATTTCACTTAGCATGATGATCCATCCATTTTCCTGCAAATGGCAGGATTTCCTTCTTGTTTGTAGAGGAATAATGCTCCATGGATAATATATGCTTACCACTCTTCTAATGGCTGTAGGATCCTTTTTGATAATCTGCTTTCATTCTTGAATTTTTTAAAAAAACTTTATTAGTAAGATTGTTTCTTTTAATAACTAATTTTTTGTTGATTTTTCTGTTTTCCCATTTTCAATTTTGTTGATTTCTGTTCTGCTAAGCTTAGATTTATTTTGCTGTTTCTTTTTTCAATTTTCAAGTATTGTTGGTTTGAGACCTTTCGCCATTTACTAAACCTTACATTTGGTAAAGTGGGTAGTGTTATAAATTTCCCTCAGTGCTACTTAGTTGCACCTCACAAATATTCATGGCTTTTCATTTTTATTCCGTTCTTAAGTTTCTTTTGAGACTTTTTGGCCTTGAATTAGTTAGCAGTACGTTGTTTGTAGATTTTCCTGTTGGCTTTTTATTATGAATTTCTTGCTTGATTATGTGATAGCCTGAGAGTATACTCTTAATGATTTCAGTTCTTTTAAATTTGTTGAGGTTAACTTCTCTGCCTGAAACCCGATGTCTCCACACTTCTCTCGTAGTCCTTGAAATACAAGTGCCACAACCTCTAGCCTCCTGGCTTCAGTGGGGAAGATGCTGTCCCCTGAGTTGGGTGCTCCTGCAGATATTGTTTCTGTTTAGTTTTCAGAAGTTCAACTGACATGTATTCCTTTGGTTCCTTTCTGAAGCTTCCTGGCTTCTTGAGTGTGAAAGTCTCTCCTCAGATTTGGGAAGCATTGGTCCTTCTTGACCTGCTTTTGAGCCCTGGTCTTCTTGTGGGACTCTGGTGGGATAGATGTGGTGGTCCACCTCCCACAGGCCTTCAGTTGCCAGGCTGCTGTCTTTGTTGTCCAGACACTGACTTTTGCTGATCAGGCCTCCAGTTAGTCTGCTTACCCTCCTTAATGAGCCAACCCATCCAGTGGTTTTTCAATTAGTTATTGTAGACTTCAGTTCTTTTGTTTTCATTTGATTCTTCAGTTTCTTTGCTGAGATTTTCAATTTTTTGTTTGTTGCCATGGGATTTTTAGTTGCTTGTTGTAGCATTTTTATAGCAGCTACTTTACAATATGAGTCAATAGTTCCAGCATCTGATCCATTTCAGAATTGGTGTCTTCAGTCATCTTTATACATTAAATTTAGGATGTGTTAGGTTTATGCATGAGTATGAAGTACAATTGGTGAGTCTCTGTTGTCTCCTGTACCTTTTGGCTATTGTGATAGGAGACTGGTTCCTATGTGATTTTTCTGCTGTTCACAGGTATCATCCTTTTCAGCTGTAGCACACAGGTGCTAGTACTTTGTTGGGTGTAGTTCCTGTGCTAATTTAGACTTCAGAGCCTTTGTGGAGCTGCTCTCGTCTGCTTGGTTCATTGGGTACTACTGGTGCCCTGGGGGGATTGGGTATTTTGGACTATGGGCTGCAGGCCATTTGCTGGCTTAGGGCGTGTCCTTGTAGGTCTTGTCTGTCTGTGGATTGCTTTTGAGTGAGGAGGGGATGCTTGGGCCTGCTGGATTCTCCCTTGCCAGTAACCTCAGCCCCTGGGTGTCTTGGTGGGAGGAATGGAGGTTGGCCCAGACCCTTTTGAGAGGTGCGCCCTGCCCCACATCCTTGTGTTGCCCAGTGTCCCTGGTACTGCCAGTGAGGTTTTGTTTGGGGGAAAGAGCCTATCTGGCCACCCTCTGCCTGGGTGAGGGTGGGGAAACACTGGGGCTGGGTCCCTTTCCTGATGGCCACCAGTTCATCCCTCGAGTCTTGGGGTCACTCACCAATTTGTATTTTTTTCCCTACCTTCTAGAGTTCTTTGATTGTCTCTTATTTCCAGTATTACTTCTGGAGCTTGCAGTTATAGGAGGACCAGACTAGAAGTCCTTGGTAGTGGTTTTGATTGTGGCTGTGTTATTAGGAGAATTGTGTCATCCTTTGTACAGGAGATAACACTAGTGCACGCTTTACGTGGCACGCTCTACAGCACAGGCCAGGGGTGGCTGGGACATGGCTGATAGTGTTATTCCTCTGCTCTGTGGTGACATACTACAGTGTGTTTTTAAATAAAAGTTCCAGCACAGTTTTTATTAAGTTTATGTGAGTGTTTTTTCCCTTTTTTGTTTTTATTGCACATAGGAGCTTCCCGTGTGTTATTTTATTTGCTTGGCGCTTGTGTGAAAATGTTTTAATACCTTTCTAAATGTTCCCCTCCCAAAGGGGTGTTAAGACAGGACCTGTAACTGAGCTCAGTGCTGCAGGCACAGACGAATGGATGAATGAACAAACTCTTCTGTGGTCTCAGCACTGTTGGGGTATCCTTGCACTCATCTGCATTCTCTGTATAGGCTAAGGTTTCGCCTAGGTGTGTTGTGCAAATGTGTTATGTTGGTTATTCCTCTCGTGCTGCGGCTTTCCTGGTCACTCTTTGGGCGTTGGTGTCACTTCTGTTAGATACTGTTCCAGTGTCCACACTTGTGCTGGAAGAACAGCCCTCAGCTAAGTGAGATGTCTGATAAGTCTGGAAATGTGTGTTGGGTCCATTTTCTTTGCCTGACCGATGATGGAATAGTGACAGTGAAACTGTGGGAACTAGGAGATCAGAGCTTGGAGTGTGGAGAGCACAGTGTTCTGTGCTGCCATGCACAGGCCCCACTCACAGATGGTCCTGTGGATGCTCTTTTCCAGATGAGCTCTTTGGTGACTTTGAAGACCTAGAAACAGGGGATGTGCACAAGGGAAAGCCAGACCCGGATGCTCAGGTATGGTTCTGCCACAGCCATGTCCCTTTGTGCCACAGTCACAGTCACAGTCACAATCAACACAATTCTTTTTTTTTTTTTTTTTTTGGTACCGGGGATTGAACTCAGAACCTTGCGCTTGCTAGGCAGGCAGCAGAACCACTGAGCTAAACCCCTGGCCTGAGAAACACAATTCTAATGGCAACCTGTGTAACTCTCTCAGACCCGTGGATAGAGTCCTTTCTAGAAGTGTGAGGTGCAGGACATTGGTTTATTCTCAGTCTTCTACATGAAACCTCCAGCCCCTTCTTGCCATGATTGTTTACTGGATTCCTTACAATTTTTCATTTATGAAGGTTTTAGCTCAGCTCTTCCTCTCCATTGTTCCCTTTCGCCATCATTCCTCTCTTACTAAATTTAAATGTCATTTAAAGAAAACCAGTTTTCTTTTTTTTTTTTGCAAGTCTTTGTGCCATGTGTGGGAACGCCTCGGTTGGGCCAAGTTTCTGTCACTTTCCAGGCCTGAGGGGCAGGCCGTAGTTAACAATGCTGTCTCTCCTGTAGCAGGGCGCAGTATCTTACAGCCAAAGGCTGTGTTTCATTTTATTTTATTCATGATAGTCATAACTAAGGTTTTTGCAGTTCAAAAAGAAGCTTATCTGCTTTTATGTTTAAAGAAAAAAAATCTCCATAAACTTTTAAAAATGTTTTTTCTTCTGTGAATTTAAGACTAAAGATGTAGAGGGAGAATTTAAGGAAGAAACTGATCCCAGCACAGAGGAAGATGCCAAGAAAAAGCATTTGGAGAAGAAGAGAAAATTGAAGGAGCTGTTTGATGCAGAATATGATGAAGGAGAAAGCACTTATTTTGATGACCTTAAGGGGGAAATGCAGAAACAAGCGCAGGTGAGAGAATTCCTCTTCTGCTCCTCCTCCCAGGGCTGACTCCTGCCGGCCTGCTCTGTGCCTTTCATGTGGCTCCTGGTCAAGGTGCGTTTAGGTGTGGTTGTTCATGGTCTCAGAAACTCACAGAGCAACACCAGAGCCCACATTGCTAGGACTGCAGTGCTGAGGAAGCAGAAGGGATTTCTGAGGGCTTCACACAAGCAAGGCTCACGTTCTGATCATTGCCCCTGATTTGAGTGAATAGGGGATTTGTGGCCCATGTAACTTATGGACAGCCAGGCTCTCCAGAGCAAGTTTCCTGAACTCAGCTCAGTCAGAATTCACAAAGTTTCTACAGAGATGCAGGGAAGGGGCAGAGTAGCTCCTACCTGTGGCTGAGCCACCTGTCTGAGGTGGTGGCCCCATTCTGGAGCAGACAAACAATGGCTGCAAATGAGCATTTGTGATTGGTGGACTGTAGTTCAGATTGCACTCAGTAGGCTTTTGATGACATAACTTAGCGTTCCCAGTCTGTGTTGACCTTAACAGAAGTGACTGAGAGAGGTGAAGCTAGTCTTGAAGCCTGTGCTATTTACAATTAAAGTCACCTGCCATCCTAAAGGACTTTGAATTTTTCATTCTGGGTGAAATGGGGCTCCTGTGGGATTGGAGCAAAGGAGAGACAGTGGTGCTGTCCCTGTGGAGAAGATTGCTCTGGCAGGGACTCAGGTTAAGATGGTATAGGTGAAAGAGCCAGATCTGGTGCACTTTGTAGGATTTCCTGGTGGACTTCATGTGGCGTGTGTCTTAGTTACTTCCTCATTGGTAGGACACAGTACCTGACACTGACACCCACAACTCTTACAGAGGAAAGTTTTGTTTTGGCTCATAGTTTGTAGAGGTTTCAAAACGGTTGATAGTTGGCTGGTTCCAAGGCATGGCAGAGGGGAAAGAGCTCATGGCAAGGCAGTCAGGATTCAGAGCAAGATCAAGGGAGGGAGAGGAGATAAGACCCTTCCAGGCCACACCCCCAGTGCCACCAGGCGTTACTTCCCAACACCACATTTAGCTGTAAACTCATCCCAGCCCCATGATCCAGTCACCTCCCCAGAGCCCCCTGGTGAGCTCAGGAGGCTTTGGGCGGACATGAAGATAAGAACTGTAAAGGTGAAGGAGGATCACACCCATGGAGTCACTGGGGGGTTTGATGTGGAGTGGAAAAGTAGGAAATTGCAGTGACGAAAGAAGGTGTGGCCTGGGGAAGCTGGTTGCTGACAGCACAGTCAACTTCTTTCAGAGTTGTCTGCATTTGTTGTGTCCCAAGCAAGAGAGAACACAGCAGGGACTTTCCTAACCATCACAGATGTGGCTGCCCACTGTTTTTGATGAGGATGAAACCTAAAGAATTCTGTCCATGGTTCTTTTAATAAGTGGCTTATTTTTCATTTTAATCTTAGGTTGATTAAAGATAATAGCATGATGGGATTTTATTGTTTTTTGCCCCTCTCATATATAGCTTAACCGAGCAGAATTTAAAGATCAAGATGATGAAGCTCGAGTTCAGTATGAAGGATTACGACCTGGGATGTACGTCCGAATTGAGATTGAAAATGTCCCCTGTGAATTTGTGATGAACTTTGACCCCCATTACCCAGTAATCCTGGGTGGCTTGGGCAACAGTGAGGGCAACGTGGGGTATGTGCAGGTGGGTGCCCTTGTTGTGAAGGTAGTTGGGGCATGGGCAGGTTCACTGTGTATGACTACTGGGTTGAGCGTGCTCTCCACTGTGTTGAAATACTCTCTCTCAGATGCGTCTGAAGAAACATCGCTGGTATAAGAAAATCCTGAAGTCTCGAGATCCAGTCATTTTTTCTCTTGGGTGGAGGAGGTTTCAGACCATCCCACTTTATTACATTGAAGACCACAATGGCCGACAGAGGCTTCTGAAATACACCCCGCAGCACATGCACTGTGGAGCAACCTTTTGGGGTAAAATGCAGTTAAAATAACTTGGTTTGTAAGATTACACTAATACATATTATTTATTAGACCTTATGATTAAGTTTTGCTCTTTTCTTTCATAAACTCCCAGTTTGTCATGAGATTTGTCTCCTTGAGTGAGGGGTTGGAGTATATACATAAAACAGAATCCAAACGTGGCTCACTCTGGCTTGTTTCCTTTCCTTTAAGGTCCTATCACTCCACAAGGAACTGGGTTTTTGGCAATACAGTCCGTCAGTGGAGTAATGGTAAATGTCTTGGATATTTTATTTCATAGATTGTTTGAAAAGTTGATCTTGAATTTGTGTCATATACACGAATCTTCAAGTTCATTTTTAGTGTGTAATATATAGTAAATTTCTCTTTGTTTTTGATTTTCCTATGTCTTTTTAGAAGGGTTTGGGAGTAGAAAAGAGTGGTTTAGAAAAATTATACTGGCATAGGTGACACTGTTCTCATGCCTTGAAGGAACATTGGAGCAGTGTTCTCCATGGGCTGGCACTGTTCCTGTTCTGGGGACACAGGGCAGCCAGCTCACCAGGGGCAGCTCTTGGGGAGGCTGAGCAAACGTAAGCCCTCTGTGTGAGACTGCTCAGAGCAAGTATCCCAGGAATGAGGAGGAGGTGGAAGAATCTACCCCCAGAAGTCCAGAATTTAGCTTTTTATAAATTACAGCTAAATTTAGCTCTTCCTCTTCATTCCAAATTGACCTTTATTGTGAAGTCACTCTCAGGAGGGCCTTGGAGCCATTGCTGTCAGTTTGACTACCAGTGTTGCAGCTTTTGATGCTTTGCTGAAATACTGTTTGACACATTCACATGCTCTCTTATTCTTTCTTAGCTGATTATAAGTGAAGTGAACTTTGATAACTTAGTGCCTCACAGAGAGTTGTAGATTTTCTCCAGTTGATTATGCAGGCAGGGTCTCATTATGCAATTCAAGCTGGCCTTTAACTCGCTATGTAGCTCAGGCTAGCCTCATCCTACTGATATGTTATACTCAAATTTTGGGGGTTTCTTTTAGCCTGATTTCCGGATAGCTGCAACGGGAGTTGTCCTTGATCTGGATAAATCTATAAAAATTGTGAAGAAATTAAAGCTAACTGGTTTTCCATATAAAATTTTCAAGAATACTTCATTTATTAAGGTCTGTATATCTATCTATTGACATACTTATAAATGTTTATATTGTCCATGGAAGCCTGCAGTACAAGTTCAAGATCCCTTATCTGAAATGTTTGGGACCAGAAGTGTTTCAAAGTTTAGATTTCTCTAGATTTTAGGAAATTTACATACACATAATAAGATGACTCGCATGTGATTCACATTTACCTTACCCATGTGATCTGAAGGTCACTGTATACAGTGTCGTTAGTGTGCCTACATTGTGACTGGGACTCATACATGACATCAGATGTCAGATTTCCCATAAGTGGCATCATGTCTGCCTCAGAAAATTTCACTTCTTGAAACATTTTGGATTTTCCTAATCTAAAATATGGGCCTAATGGGTTTTAGCATAGTATTTGAATGGTTTCCTTTGGTATTTTTTAGTTGACTTCTTTGTGTTTGTGTCTGTGTCTTTGTGAAATATTCTTTAACACTGAAAGTGAAGTCGAGATACTTAGTGCCTGGGGCGCTTGTTACTTCCAGGAGATCCTGTCTCACAACTAATACCAAAAACTTATGTCAGCTCCTCTGGGTTTGTGTCCCACCCTTCAGTTTTGTGTTAAGAAAGGAGGAAAATCATACATCTGTCTAACAGTAAAGTAGAAAATACAGACAAGGTGGAGGGAGGGAGGGGTCAGAGGATGAAAAAAGGAATGGAGATAGGTTATGTACATGCACCAACTCCACATGGAATGTACACATGTACTACACACAGGTACTAATAAACTAAAAAAAAAAAAAAAACAGGTTGCAGGAAACTTGACAAGGTTTCAGAGAATGGGCACAATGTTTTACAGTATCTGGAGAGGGTAGTTGGAGCAGCATTTGTTGAAAGTTTCCTTAGTGGAAATGTTTTCCTTAAAAACAGTTAAGATCCCGAGGGCTGGGGGTGTAGTTCACTGGTAGAGCACAGCAGGGTACCATCCCCAGCACCACAGGGGGAAAAAAAGAGGATTCTAAATGTTCTTGTGATGTCAAGTAATGATACCACCAGCACCTGCCTAACTCTTTTTACTTTAAATGGATGAACCTAAATGATAGAATGTGAGCTGCAACCCAGCCTGCAGGGTGCCAGCCGCGGGTGTTCAGTGCCTCCAGCAGATGCATCTCTGCTCTTTCTTCTGCCAGGGTACCAGTGATGAGCATGTTAATGAGCCCACAACAGTCTGAACTGATGTTACTTTGGAAAAGTAAAATAGAGCTGTTGTACTTCTTGACATAGTAATGTCATTTTTATGGAGGAAAATACTTTATTTTGTCCCCCTTCAGTGAGGTGCTTTATTTTTTAACCAATGATGAACTCAGAGGTAAAGTATATGATTTTATGTGTATGTACTTTTCTGTTCATTTGCCTGTAGGGAATGTTTAATTCTGCCTTGGAAGTGGCCAAATTTGAAGGTGCTGTGATTCGGACTGTCAGTGGAATTAGGGGACAGATCAAGAAAGCACTGCGGGCTCCAGAGGGGGCTTTCCGGGCCAGCTTCGAAGACAAGCTATTGATGAGTGGTAAGCACACTGTGAGGTGTTCACGACACTATGCTGTCTTTCATTGCTGACACCTAGCCAGCGTCGAGTAGAAGTTGGAGTTAGGTGTCTTAGAGTCAGCGCCACCTTTGCCCAGTTAGAGCATCTTGTACCACTGCCAGTTAACAGTGCCTGCAGCTTCTGGCTTCACACCCTGTGAAAGGTGTGTGATGCACAAGAATAGTAAACTTGGTGTGAGGTAGAGAAATTTGGGGTGAGTTTGTCTGTGTGTGAGACACACAGAGGTGGATATGAATCTTGTTTTGAAACTGTTAAGTTTCCTCTTTTCTAGATATCATCTTCATGCGAACATGGTACCCTGTGTCCGTCCCAGCCTTTTATAACCCAGTTACATCTCTGCTGAAACCAGTGGGTGAGAAAGACACTTGGTCAGGAATGCGGACCACAGGTCAGCTCAGGCTTGACCATGGGATCAAGTTGAAGGCCAACAAAGATTCTCTGTATAAGGTACAGGGCATGCGTGTGTGCATGTGCGTGTGTGTGTGTGTGTGTGTGTGTGTGCGTGCGCATGCATGCACACGTCAGGGAAGACGGCACAGCTGTGCTCTCCGCAGTCACACCAGTGCTTTTATGTGCAATGTCCTGTGTGCTTTGAATTTTCAAGTATAATGTTAAATTTGTTGTTTTTTTATATATAAAATGTTAAATTTTAACTGTTGTAAATCGATCGAATATTTTGGAAAGGAACACAGAAAAATAGTAGTTGTTTTTTTTTGGATTAGTAAAGAATTTAAACTGTGTACCTTTGAGGTTTACAGCATGATGTTTTGGGATATACTGGATAGATAGTATTTACCACAGTGAAGCAAATGAGCATATCTACCATCTCACATAACTTTGTTTTGTGTGACAGCAGTTAAGATTACTTATTTTAAGAAACTTCCAAATACATGACATTTTTGGCTATAGTTCTCATGTGGTATATTAGATCTGTATCTATGTTCATCTTACATGTCTGCCATTGTGTACCCTTGGACCTGCATCTCCTCATTTCCTGTTAACTATTTTATGTCTTTGGAGAAATTTCTGTTCAATCCCTCAGCTCATGTTTTAATCTGGCTGTTTTCTGCTGTTCCCTTGTATAAGTTCTGTGAAGTTTGGTTATTAACTCTCTACACATAAAAGGTTACAAGTATTTTTTTTCCAGTCAGTAAGTTGCCCCTTTCATTTTGTGGTTTCTTTTGCACTACAGAAACTTCTTAGTATAATGTAGTCCCATTATTTAGTTTTGCTTTCATAGCCTGGCTTTTGATATAATATCCAAAAAGTCGTTGCCAAGGCTAATGTACCTGTGTTCTCTTCTAGGAGTTTTCAGGTTTCAGGTGTTACATTCAGATCTTCACCCATTGTGCATTGGTTTGTGTGCAAGAGTTCGTCTTACTCTTTTGCATCTGGAGATCCAGTTTTCTAGCACCACGTATGGACGGATGGGACCTTCCTTTCCTTGTCATGTCCTCTTGGTTGCCCTTGTCAAGAATTAGTTGATCAGGGGTGCGGGATTTAGCTTAGTAGTTCCGCCACCTGCCTTGCAAGTGCATGGTCTCGAGTTCCCGAGTTCGATCCCCGGTACCAAAAAAAAAAAAGAATTAGTTGATCTGTATGTTTGGAGTTGCTTCTGGGCTCTCCCTATCATTATTTTCTTTACAGCTTAACAATGCATTTGAATAGATTGTTTTAATCCAAGACATTCAGTTGTTTTGTAGTGGCACATCGCTGGGTGTGGTGGTACATGCCTATAATCCCAGCACTCAGAGTCTGAGGCGGATCTCCACTAGTTTGAGGCCACCCTGGGCTATATAGTGAGTTCAAGGCCAGCCTGAACTACATAGTGAGACCCTGTCTCAAAAACCCAAAAAAGGGGTATTTTCATAATAATCAGTCTGCCATTATGGTAGAAATGGTCTTTCATATTAGATGGTTTATTGTAAGATTTTGTATAGTCTTTCATGAGTTTTTAGTGAAATATACTTGAGGTGTGCTCATTATCAACCTGTGACACTTCTTTTTTTAGGAGATTTCTCTGGATTTTTAAATTTTAAACCAATTTGGGTGCCTGAACAAAAGATATTGACTATTACTCATATACTTACTTATTTATGGTGAGACAAGATCTTCCTGTGTTGCCCACTGGTCTTGTGCTCAGGTGATCTTGCGTCTGCCTCCTGGATAGCTGGGATGTCCATGTGTGCTGTGCTCCCAGTCTCTTTTAACAGTAGAAGCATAGCAGTCTTCTCTGAATAGTTGATGTTGACCTTTGGTTTGCCTTGAGCAAAACTCTCAACTTCCTGCTAATATTTCTGAGGCATTTAAAAATTTGGTTGTCTTAATTTAAGTATAGAACTTTTAGTGCTCGCTTCGGCAGTTCATACACTGAAAAGTATAGAACTTTTTTTTTTGGTACCAGGGATTGAACTTGGGACCTTGCGCTTGCAAGGCAGGCAGTGGAACCACTGAGCTAAATCCCTGGCTCTAGAACTTTTATCACCTTGAAAATTCCATGTTGAGTTTGCCTTCCTGTGCTGCTTAAATTTCATTTTTCTCTGCCAGCCTTCTAGCAGAAACAAAAATTTAAACTTCTTAATTACAGGCAGGAATAGGGATACTTCAGCTGCTGAGGAATAACTGTGTTCTTCATCTAGAGAGGTTTAAAATGAGAGGCTAGCCAGGTCATTCATCTTAGGCTGGAAGAACACCAGCTCAGTGCCTCAAAGGTGGGGCCCGAGTGTTTCAGGAGAAGCAGCTTAGGCACACCTCACAGTTTCATCCATGCAAGTGCCCACCAGCACTCTCTTGAACTTTAAGCATACTCTGCATGCTCCTCTACTTTGTGTGGGATGTTGATGTCCCTGGAGGCAGCCATCCTGCATGGGTGATGAATGATGACTTCTGGAGGGCAGCTAATGCTAGTGTTACTGACCTGTGGAGAAGTCAATCCATGGAGAAGAGTTTATGCCAAAGTTTTATATAGACTTGGGTTATAGTTTACATATGTCATAGTTTTTGTTTTATTTTCTCTTTCAGCCAATCCTGAGGCAAAAGAAGCATTTTAACTCACTGCACATTCCCAAAGCCTTGCAGAAGGCTCTGCCATTTAAGAATAAGCCCAAGCTCCAAGCAAAGGCTGGCAAGGTGCCCAGGGACAAGTGGAGGCCTGCTGTCATTCGAGAGCCTCACGAGAGGAAGGTACTGTGAGCGATGGATTATTGCCTTCTGTTTGGACATGAAAGTTGTGCTCTTGGTAGCACAGTCAGCATTTCCACTGTGCACCGAGTCTTCATTGGGGCCACAAGGGTCCTGGATCCATAGCTCAACCATGCTGTGTATGGGTTTGAATCTGGAGTGGGGCAGATGGTGAGGGCTCCTCTCTTGGCTGGTGGATAGAGTATCCACAGAATGGTGAACAGAGGTGGTTTTATGGTAGGGGTAAAATGTACTCACACACATCTCTGTGCAAGTTGTGCTTTCCGAGATCAGAATGCCTCTTCACTTGGTTAACCTGTATGTGGGTTGTGGACTGAATCCAGTTTTGGTCCTGTCAGCCAGGTGTTCAGGCCCCAGAAGTGTAGGTCATACATGTGCCACAGCTGAATGAGTGGTGTTTACAGGCTTTGTCCTTGCAGATCCTGGCACTGCTGGATGCTCTGAGCACAGTGAACAGCCAGAAATTGAAGAAGGCCAAGGAGCAGCGGCATCTGCATAATAAGGAGCATGCCAGAGTGAAGCAGAAGGAGGAGGAGGAGAAGCTGAAGCGGCAGAAGGACCTCAGGAAGAAGCTTTTTAGAATTCAGGGCCAGAGGGAGAGAAGGAATCAGAAGTCCAGTCTGAAGGGAGCTGGGGGCAGTTGAAGGGTCCTGTAAGGTGGAAAGGCTGGCTTTGGCTCCACGGAGATGGATGGGTCTGAGTCTCATAGTGCTTGTTCATAAGTCGGGGCCCTAGAGCCCAGGAGAAACCTCTGCTGGATGCATCACCCCATTTGTGCCTTCAGGAGGAGAAATGGGAAGACTACTAGTAGGATTATCGCTCATTCTCTGCACCCTGTGATGTGGGGATTTGAAACAGCGTAACTTATCATTGTATTATCTTCTGCCTTTCTCAGTTGAATAATTTTGTCCTATAAAAATACCATTAAAATATTTTCCAGTTAATTTTGGCTTAGTGGTTTTCATTAGGAATGAATGCCTGACAATTGCTTGGGAATAATTGTTTGCTGTACTGTCTTCATGATGAGTCTTCTAAGAGGGAAAAATACTAACTCTAACTCTTAGTTTTAATGTCAAATCTTATAGAAGGCTGTGTTTGTTTTTATTTAGATTATGTCTGTTGGAGTCATTGATCACTGACCCTCATGGAAATACTATATCGTATTCATATATTTTATATATTAGTTTCATAGCTAGATGATAGTAAATACTTCTCTAAAGCTTTAGAGGATTGCTATCTCACATGCCTATAACAGACCGTGGAAATGGAATATACCGATGAAGTAGGCTTCTTATGCTTGTCCATTACATCTTCCTAGCTGAATTGCTTTTCTTAATTGAACTTAGTGATGGATGGGTTCATCTGTACATACTATTAGGTCTGATGTGTAATTGTGTGATCATATGTTGGTGTAACATACCTGACCTGTATATAGTGTATATATTATCTGGTCATTTGTTGCATTTCCATATATGACCTGATCCTCTGTGATGTGATCAGAGAGAGAGTCATGTACAGTGCACACTTTGGTTTCCCCCAATGGTAATGTTACGTAAATATCAGTTGATGTTGACCTTGATACAATCTGCTGATTTTTTTCAGCTTTTTTCTAGCTTTACTTATATCTGTGTATGTGTGTGTAAAAATATGGAACACTTTACACATTTGTGTGTCATCTTTTTTTTTTCCCATCCTCTGACAAAGGCTTTACTGGTAACTTTCCACAGTCAAAAAATTTAAAAATACAGAATACAGCAGACAGTATCTCATAGAGAAGTCAGCGTAACAGGGGTTCTTGTCATCGTTGTAAAAAAAGTCCCCCAAAATCTAAGAACTTAGATTTGGTGGTGGACAGACTCTGATCCCCCTACCAAATGAACCAAATTAATCCAGCAGATAATTCAAACCAAGGGAGCAGGTAGAGAAGGAATCAGATTTGTAAGTAACTGCTTTTGAGTTTGGGCTAGGCAGTGTCTCTTACTATAACTATCACCATGTGTTCCTCTTCCAGCTTGCTCAATGTCCTCAGTGCTGACTGGAGGTACTGCTGGGAGAAGTCTCAGGGCAGGGAGGCATAGGGCATGCCTGTGATGTCTTCTGCCCTTGGACACCCGCCACCCCCACCCCACACACACTGGGAGGCTGATTACCCCTGCAGCCTGCTTCTGTTTCAAGTAGACCAGGTTCCTGAGAAGCCGCCTCTGCAGGCCTGGCTCCTCTGTGACCATCACCTCAGTGCCAGGCCCACTGGGTCCTGCCTGGGTAGCTAGGAGCACTGTGTAGCCATTGGAGCTCCCCCTGCTTGATGCGTCGTGTGACCTCGTCAAGCTGGGGTTGGTCTGGTCAAAGGTGCTGGGTGGTCTTCAGCTGGGTCAGCTTGCTCCCAGAAGTGTGGTCTTTGAGGAGACCGCTGATGACTCCCCAGTCCCCCTGTAGGATATGCATAGATGTTGGGAAGCAGCTGTTTTTCAACCCTAAAAGCCCAGTCCAACCCAGTTGCAGCATCTGAGCATACTCTTGAGTGTCTTCAGCTTTTTGGTCTCATGTTTTGGCTCTTCGAGAGGCTTGGGCTCAGCCTCAGTGGTCCAATGATTGTGCTCTCTCTTGTTTTCTTCCCCTGGGAAGAGTCTGTAGCTTCATGGTCGTGGTCGTGGTTGTGGTTGTGGTGGTGGTGGTGGTGGCTCCACTCCTCAGCCCCATGTCTACTGTTGCTCTTGACTCCTTGGTCCGTTCACCAGAGCGGTTCTCCTTATGGCTGTGCTCAGGGGTGTGGTCAGACTGCTGCCCACAACCCTTGGTCCTGCTCCGTTCCTCATAAGGAGAGTGGGTTATCCTTCCCCAGTCACTGGAAAGGCTCCTCTGCCTGCACCTGTCTTCCCAGGGCTTGGGCTCGCCTCTCTCCCCTTCCCCTCCCCAGCGTTTACCATTCCGGTGGTACACTGAACGACTATAACCCTCCAGGCTGTTTCTGCGGTCAGAACTTTTACCGGGGCTGGTCCAGTCCCCTTCCAAAAACATCCGGCGTGGAGGGGTCCTATCCTGCACCCCCAGGTCCACATCCAGGGTTTGGTGCTGGGTATATCCATCTGTGAGAATGTGAGAAGCTCTTAGTGCACAGGGAAGGGTGAGGGCTGGTACTGCTGGGGATACCAAGACTCTTCTGCTTTGGGAAAATCCACTCAGAGCCTTCGGTCTGGACCACACAAAGGAAAGCCCCTCATTTTAGTACAGGCAGCCTGGGCTCCATCCAGGCTCTAGTACTGGATGTAGGCAAAACTATCCTTTGATGTGATCAATGATCCGAATGCTTCCAAAGCAATCAAACTCCCAGGCCAGGGCTGCCAGTGAAGTGTTGGGTCCTAGGCCATCCACCCAGAGGTGAGTTGTCGGGTTGCCTTTGCCATAACCTATCTTAATGGGACTTCTGCCAATCACCGGGCTGACAGAGCCACCTTAGCCCTCTGGGCCATGTCCAGGTTCTGGAACTTTGGGAAAGTATAGGCCCCACCCTGCCCTCGGGCAGGCCTCTTGATGACCACCTCCTCAATCGAAGGCCCAGCGCAGCTCCATCTGGGACATGCTATGGTCCAAGTTGCCGATGAACAGGTTTCATGTGGCCCGCTGGTCGTTCTCAGGCATCAGGTTCTCTTCGCACACGGCCGAGTAGCCACACGGGTGCCCGCGCTCGTCATACAGCCCATAGTAGTCCAGGGCCAGCTCCCAGGATAGCTCCACAGCCCACAGCAGCGGGGGCTGCGGCGTCCAGTAGGAAGGCTGAGGCGGCGTGGCGGGCGCGGGCCTCTTACAGGGGCGGGGACCGGGGACCGCGATGCTCCTACTGGTATCCCCCGAGCAGCGGCTGGTAGCCTAGAGGGTTGGCGGGCGCCTGTGGCGTGGTGGCATCGGCACTACTGCTGCTGCCTCTCCGGCAGCTCCCGCCCCCTCCCAGTGAAGGTACACTGGCTCCACCTTGAACGGGCAGTCTCACAGCAGCAGCTGGTGGGCCTCATGTGCGTCTTGCGGGTGTCGCAAGTTCACGTAGGCCATGCGCCCCAGCTCCAGCTCCGGCGTGTGCCACAGGAGCAGGGTGATCTCGCCCAAGCGCTTGAACTGGTGGAACAGTCGGCCCTCGAGGTGCTCAGGGGGCAGCGCAGGGCTCAAGCTGCTGAGGAGTAGCGTCTTGTACTCGTCCATGGCTGCAGAGCCAGGACCTGCAGGCTCGCCGGCGGCGAGGGCGGCAAGGGTGGCGACAGCGGAGATGCGTGGGACGACAAGGCCGAGGCGCCCGGGTCCCCCGAGTCCTTGCCACCAGCTCCGGAGCCCAAGGAGCTCCGCGCTCACACGGTGATTTGCGTCCCCGGCGCCACGAAGCTCCTCCCACCCGCCCACCCCCGCCGTCCTCGTTACCGCGGGGGCGGGGCTTGTCATGGGCCCAGGCTCGAACTGGATGCTTGGCGCGGCCAGAGGCCTTATGAACCGCTCTCCACCCGTCTACCTCCGCCTCCCGTTCGCGCTCCCGCGGACGCTTTGCCAACGAAGACGAGCCAGGCCCGCTCGGGCTGGAGTCTCCCACGCTCTGGCGCTTCATGGCCCTGGCGGGGCGGCCCGTGGGCTCCTCACAGCTGCAGCGGCGGCTGCCGCCCAGGAGGCCGCGCTCCCAGCGCCGCCATCTTGGACCTGTGTGTCATCTTTGCACAAACTACTAGTTTGTCTGGATCCAATTTTAGTATGTGTGCTGCTAATGCAAGTACCATGTTGCCTCTTACAGCATCACGTGGGCCAAAGAAAGTTTACTTAGGGCTTCCAGGTAGGATTATGAGCAACTGTCCTCGTCTAGGAGCTTATATAAATAACCTAACACTGTCAGTGGGCAAGTGCTTGGCCTTGTGTCTTCCTCAGAAGTGATGGGGTGTGAGCATCCTGCCAGGGCTCTCCACCTGGAAGCAGCTGTTGGAACATGCCCAGACCCTTCTGAGGATTCTGGGTGTACATTTACCCCATTCCCCAGGAGCAGAGGGACTCTTACTGCTTAATATGCCAAACAGATCTGGAGCCGATGCATAAACAAACCCATAAAGCAATTTAACCACCTACCAGTCCAATTATTTAAATAGAGGATGACCAAAAGTTACATATTTTTGTTAACTTTTATAGATAATGAAATATAAAAACAAAACTTTATCAATTTGAGAATCCACTGGTTGAAGTGACACCTGTTCAAGCAATGCCTGGGATAGTACCTAAACACACTGCCCAAGTAACGCCTGGAGTAAACTGTTAAAAGTGATTAATTTCTGTGGTGTTACATGGCATAATTGATACGTAGAATAAGAAACTAACTCAAACCGTACAAAGTTCTGCAGACTATACCACATTTTGCAGTTAAGTAGTTACAAGGCCTCCCAGAATAGATTAAACCTAGTTTTAAAAGTATCTTACACAGAAGTAAATTTGTTTGAAGTGTAAGCATTGCAAATAATACAATATATGTAATTATCACATATTAGCCTGAAGAATGAATGAAATCCTTCAGCAGTGGAGAAAGAAAATGTTTAGGCAGTACTGGGGATTTAGGTCAGTGTCACCACACCTGCCTCCTAAGCGCAAAGTCCTGAGTGCGATCCCCAGTACCAGAAGGAAAAAAAATGTTTAGGCATAATTGCAGGTAATTATAATTTCTAAAGACTGTATATATGTATGATATCTGCTAATATTAGTATTGAAATAATATTATCTTGGCTTATCATATTTGGAGAGCAAAGGAAATGAAAAGTCAAGAAACCTCTTATGCGTGAAAGTAACCGAAAATGGTTATTTTCCATATAGAATTCTTACAGCTAAGGTCCCAGCTGGTTTGGTCAGTAAGCTAAAACTTGGGAGCGGGGATTTGGCTCAGTGGTGCCACCGCCTGCCTTGCAAGAGCAAGGTCCTGAGTTTGATCCCC